TTTCTGTAGCGTTTACACTGAATTATCAAACCTTCAACCGGTGCATCTGATAATCACTTATTTGTGGTGTCATTACAGGAAAGATTACAGGTTACAGGAAAGAATTTTTTTTTATGAATTCTTTATTCTAAACTATATTTTTGACCAATTTTTTTTTTTCACTTAACGTATACACTGGTTTTGTCCTTTATTTTTAAATCTTTTTTTTTTTTTTGTTTCGGTTACACATCAACTAAACTTTTGATTGTTTATTGTTCTGTTGGAGGATATTTCAGTTTTACGAAAACCGATTTACCATCATATCAATTCTTCAGACTGCATTAACAATGCATCAGTTTTAAAGGATAATTATAGAAAAAAAAAGAAAAAATGGGAATTTACTGTTAACGGGGAAAAAAATGATTGCCTATCAGTGGTGAATCATTTGTCATCAACAGTTTTGCTTGTTTTTTTTTTTTCAGCAATTTCGACTTTAAAACAAAAAACTGTTGATTAATTATTATAAGTTTATCAAAATTTTGCTAAAATTTTTATGTCTTATTATTCTTTAGTGTAAACACAGAAAGATAAACATCGATTAACACGTATCGTTGATGTTTTTCTGTATAAGTTTGGTATATTTGAAGTAGCTAATTTTTCCCATTTTCTTATTGTAGTTTTTTTCTTTTTTTTCTTTTTATTTTTTTTTAGGAAACCATTTCTGTTTTCAGCAAATAATACCGATAAGACGGGGGGTAAACTTGTCAAATAAATAATTTGTACATTTGGTAAATTGAAAAGTTTTTGTAAGGAGATGAAGAGCGAGGAAAGGTTAGAAATACGTTGAAGAGTATAAATTTTTTCTCTTTTGGAAACTGGAAACAGTGTTGTTAAGTAAAGGGTCCTAGAAAAAGTAAGGCACAAATTGGTAGCTGTTTTATATTTCTCCGCTTTAAATTTCTAACCTTTTTTCAAGTTTTTTTCAAAGTTTCACTGAAAAAAAAAAAAAAGACAAAAATTTTTTTGTTATAACATTTAAAGCAAAAAGTAAAAAAATTTGTAATTTAAAAAAATTCTGCTTACATACCTTTATCTTTTTGATTAAAACTTGCAGTTTTTTTTTTGTTGTTGCTAACGGTGCTCATTAGTTTGTTATTATTCGGCAAATTCATCAAACTAAGTGAAGTAAACAAATTCTGCCAATAACTGCTGCAAAGATTCTGTATGACTACAAAAGGATCAAAAACTGTCGGAATTGGTGAACTTTGGAAATCGGTAGACAATTATTGTCGGTAGTTGTATTCTAGAAAAAAAAAAAAAAAGAAAAGACGATACAGCATTTTTTCCATAAAAGTATTTATTTATTTATTTATTTAATGCTTCCAAAAAAAAAAGCACTTTTGTTTTTTTGTTACAGCTGAAGACTTGTTTTTTTGTTCTTCCCCTTTGTTGTTTGTATGTTCAGTAAATGAAGAGAAAAAAAAGCTCTAATTTCTTTTTTTTGAAGCAAAGCAAAAAATTGCTTTAATACAGAAAAATAAAAAAA